TAAATGCAATTAGAGCAACTATAAAAAAGGACTATGATAAGCTATGTAGAATATTCTCAGGCCCTATCCCACATCTCTTCTGTCAGACAAATCTGAGGTTGGGGTCCAAACAATATGTATTTAACATGATTTACATGCCTGTGTTTAGCAATTCCTCATATAGAAAAATCCACCTATCCTCTCTCTACATAAGACATGTATCTAAAACAATATGTATTAGAGATGCTGAAAATAATATACAATGAAGATAAAATAGATACAAAAGCACATTAATAATGGAGAAAACAATTTCTCTCAATTTATGAAATCAAATTTATAAGAACATATAAAAAATAAGAATATAAAGAGAAATAAGCCAAGTCCAATGGTTCATGCCTATAATCCCAGTGATCTGGGAGGCTGAGTCAAGCAGGAGGATTGCAAGTCTGAGGTCAGCTTGGGCAAYTTAGGGAGATCCTGTATAAAAATACAATAAAAAGGGCTTATGGACTAGGTCTATTCTAAAAAAGGTCAGGCAAAATACTCTRACCAAAAAAGTAACAGCAATTACAAAACAAAAATAAAAACTTTTTTTTTGTTGTTGAAGATCTAATGATTTAGGCCAGGGGCAGTCAATGTACCTTAAATCCCAACAATCTGGGAAGCTGAGACAAGAGGATGTTAAATTCAAAACCAGCCTCAGCGACTTAACTGGAACCTCAGCAATGTAGAGAGACCCTATCTCAAATAAAAGTAAGTTTGGGCTGTGGTTGTAGCTCAGTGCTAGAGCACTTGTCTAGCAAGTATGAGGCACTAGGTTCAATTCTTAGCACTATATATAAATTTAAAAGAAAAAGAAAAAAAGAGTTTAACAAACTCGTTGGCTAAAAAAGGATATTTTAATAAACTTCAAAATAATGACAAATATTACTCATGAAAGTACAGTAGAAACTATGGAACATATTTGAGCAAATGCTTAGAACCTTTAGAATAAATTTTTCCAATATTTAAAGAAGAAATAACAACAAAAAGAAAATTAACAAAAAGAAATTTTAAAAATTCATGAGTAGATTCTTAGGGAAAAATTTAAAAAGGAATAAAAGAATTAAAGAGAAAAAAAATAAAAGCAAAAACCTAGTAAAAATAACCTCTAAAACTGAAAATGTAAACAAAAAGAAAAAGAACAGAACAGAGACAATTATATTTCATTAACCCTAAGGCAGAGATGACTTAACATGTGAATTTCAATAAAGTTTTTTTTAACTTTTATTTCATTTTTTACACAATTTATTTATTTATTTAACCATACGATTTATTTATTTTTTTTAGTCATACATGACAGCAGAATGTATTTTGACATATAATACATACATGGAATGTACATACATCAATCATATTGTCTATTCTATTCTGCTGCCCTTCCCATGCTCCCGACTCCTCCCCTCCTCTCCCATCCTTTCTCTCTATCCAATCTAATGTGACACACTTTTTTTTCTTTTTCTCATTACAACATCATATATGTATTCTGTATAACAATGAGGTTCTCCTTCCATCTTCTGTGCAACTCCCCTTCTCCCTCTTTTTCCCTCCCACCTCTCTTCCCTATTTAGTGGTAGTCTTCTTCTCATGCTCTTCCTCCATACCCCATTTTGAGTCACCCCCCTTATATCAGAGAAGACATTCGGCATTTGTTTTTTAGGGATTGGCTAACTTCACTTAGCATAATCTGCTCTAATGCCATCCATTTGCCTGCAAATGCCATGATCTTGTTATTTTTTAGTGCTGAGTAATATTCCATTGTGTATAAATGCCACATTTTTTAATCCATTCATCTATTGAAGGGCATTTAGGTTGGTTCCACATTCTAGCTATTGTGAATTGTGCTGCTATAAACATTGATGTGGCTGTGTCCCTGTAGTATGCTCTTTTTTAGGTCTTTTGGGTATAGTCCGAGAAGGGGAATAGCTGGGTCAAATGGTGGTTCCATTCCCAGCTTTCCAAGGAATCTCCATTCTGCTTTCCAAATTGGCTGTACCAATTTGCAGTCCCACCAGCAACTTTTATTATTTAGTTGTGGATGGACACAATACCTTTATTTTATTTTTTCATGGYGCTGAGGATAGAACCCAGTACCTCATGCATGCTAGGCAAGTGCTCTACCTATGAGCCACAACCAACTCCTTCACTAAAGTTTTAATAGATATTAATAATATTATTACTGATTTTAAATTTCCCAAGTTACTTTTTTTTGGGGGGGAGGGGAGGGGGGTGGGCTGTGCTGGGAATTAACCCACAGGTGCTCTATCACTGAGCTACATCCCCAGCCATTTTTATTTTGAGACAGGATCTTATAGCTGGCTTAGAACTTACAATCATCCTCCTACCTCAGCCTCCCAAATATCTAATTACTTAATATGGGAAAAAATGATATACAACAGATCAGGGCTTAATGTACTACATTCCTAATGAGAAAATAAAAGATTACTTATCCTTTGTAATTAAAGCCCCTCATATTGTTATAGGCATTACAATCAACATCCTTCATACACACATTAGAACTGAATTTTTCACACTATAAGTAACAAGGCTGAAGTAGTTAACATTATCTGAGTACCAGGTAAAATGGTCCTTTCAACAGTATTTTTCTTCTGGTTTAAAAAATATTTTCAAAATATCAATTAAAATGCTCTAAAGGAAAACAAACTCTTCAATTTATCCTGTGTAAATGATGACCTATTAAAATGGGTTGGGGAGGAAACCACACTACCTATTTTATAAAGAGTTTTACTAGAACATACCCAAATTCATTCATTTTCTTATTGTCTATGACTACTTCAGTGCTACAATGCCTGAGCTGGGTAGTTTTAACAGTAACCCCATGGCTTACAAAGTCTAAAACACTTATTGTCTGGCTCTTTACAGAAAGTTTGCTATCTCCCTGTTCTCAGTGTGTCCTCTCTTTTCCAACTGTCACTGTTGCCAGGCACGGTTGTGCATGCCTGTAATCCCAGCAGCTTGGGAGGATGAGGCAGGAAGACTGTAAATTCAAAGTCAGCCTCAGCAACTTAGAGAGGCCCTAAGCAACTCTGTGAGACCCTGTCTCTAAATAAAATATAAAAAGGGATGGGGATATGGCTCAGTGATTAAGTGCCCCTGGGTTCAATCCTCTGTACCAAAAAACCCCCCAAAACAATAATAAACAAAAACAAACAAGTGGCATTGTTAAAACAGCTCTAATCACAACTATTCACTAGGCAACCTAGAAGGACCCCTCATCCTTAAAGGACCTCAAAGACCAAAGTTACCATACAAATCTGTACAATTCACCACATGACTGTTATATGACAAGAAATCAACTTCTGCATTCCTTAAACTAGTATAGTTAAGGTTCATTGTAGTCACTTAGCTTTACATRATTAGTACACTCATTAGTCCTGTCGCACTGCTTTACCCACCATGTCTCAGAGATGCCTAACAAATGTTAATTAGTGATCTGTGCCTCTCTTGAACAACTGATTCACATATTTAACTGCCTTCTCACCCTCTCTATTTAGATGTCTACTAGGTATTTAGTTTACTACCCCAAACCAATTCCTCCTGAATTCTTCTATCTTTAAATAGCAACCTAATCTCCCAGTTTCTCAGGCATACTTCTCTTTTTCTCAGATCACACACTCATTATACTACCATTTCTTTTTGGCTGTRTCTTCAAAATATGCCCCAAATCTGGTCATGTCTCACCTCCTTATTGGGACCACCAAGGCCTAAGTCACATTATATCTTGTCTAGATCATTTACTAGGTTCCTCATTGGTCTTGCTACTTTTGTTTTTATGTCTTCACAATTCTCAACAGAGCAGTCACAGTAATATTGTCACAATAAATCAGGTCACTCACTGCTCTACCTAGAAGCCTTCTTCTATACTTACAGAGAATCGAGGGGCTAGAAATAAGGAGACATACTCTGAACTTCCTATCAAGTGTATGTATTAAATTTTAAGAATTATATTATTTCTTCTTAAAAGTAGCAGAGAAATGATCTAGTAGGATTAGTAATAAGTTCCAAAGTTGTAATATTATTAAAAGTCAAGAAGCAAGAAAATGTTAAACTATAATGACTCCAAGTAGGAAGACAAAAGGAAATGAAACTAATGGGATAAAATTCAATTCTGAGGCATTGAACAGTGAAAGGAGGGCAAAAAGACAGCAGTTAAATTTTAAAGAAAAGTATCTACATACTAGTTTTTATTAAAAATATTTTTAGTTGTAGATGAACACAATAACTTTTTTTTTAATATTTATTTTTTAGTTATAGTTGGACACAACATCTCTATTTTATTTATTTTTATGTGGTGCCAAGGATTGAACCCAGAGCCTCACATGTGCTAGGCGAGTGCTCTACCCCTGAGCCACAATCCCAGCCTGTAACTTTATTTTTTTATGTGGTACTGAGGATCGAACCCAGTGCCTCACATGTGTTAGGCAAGTGCTCTACCACTGAGTCACAAACCAGCCCTACACACTAGTTTTTGAAGAACTGAATGCTTAAGGAAATGATCTAAGTAACCAAACAAAAGTAAAAAATGGAGAGTGTCAGTGAAAGGAGAACAAGTATGACAGAGGCTATAAAACTCAAGAAAATTGGCCGTGGGYGGTGGTGCACGCTTGTAATCCCAGTGGCTGGGGACGCTGAGACAGGAGGATTTCGAGTTCAAAGCCAGACTTGAGGCACTAAGCAACTCAATGAGACCCTGTCTCTAAATAAAAATACAAAATGAGGCTGGGGATGTGGCCCAGTGGTCGAGTGCCCCTGAATTCAATCCCTGGTAACAAAAAAACAAAAAAACAAAAAAAAAATCATAAAATTAAGGCTATAATTGAGAAACTAGTCTCTAAATTAGAGGTTAGAGAGGCAACAAATCTTCTAGAATCTGAGCAAAAGCAAGCAAGGAATCTGGAAACCCTCCCTGAATAACTATAATGAGCCTTTATCCGATACATAACTGCCAGGTTCTCACTCACCTAGAGAACTCTTTATACTTCTTCTCGATCATCCATTGATCTTTTTGTTTTAACTGGTGACTTTAAACTTGTAAAGAAACAAAGTGACACAGAATCTGCGATTATGGTTGGGAGTCAAAGCAGCATGCTAGAATTCAGGCTGAGTTCTTAAAATCCTCAAAGGTTTTCAAAGATAAAGAGAACGCAGCTCCTGGAGATTCATGAAATATCTGGCCTGCAATAGATAACAAGGTTATTATGGTTTGGCTATGAAGTGCCCACTCCCCCCAATAAGCCCTTGTGATAGACAATGCAGAAATGTTCAGAGGTAAAATGATTAGATTATGAGAGCTGTAGCCTAATCAGTGAATTAATCCACTCAATGGATTAATAACTTGAAAGGATTACTATACTGGGTAGTTAACTGTAGGCATGTGGGATGTGGCTGGAAGGGATAGGTCACTGGTAGACTGTCCTTAGGGATTATATTTTTCACTCACGGCTCCTCATGCCCTGTTTCCTAGGTGCCAAGGGCAGAGCAGGATTTCCTCTACCATGCCCTTCCCCCATGATGTTCTACCTCACCGTGGGCTCAGATCATTAGAATAAGGCCACCATGAACTGAACCTTTGAAACCATGAACTAAAATAAAACTTCTCCTCCTCTAAGTTATTCTTGTCAAATATTTTAGTCACAGCAACGAAAGCTGACTAACACATTATGATAAAGCTTGGGCACGTATACATATTAAGAGTACTTATAATTTCCATCTCAGGCTAAACCCATTATTCCATTTTAAAAAGTTCCACATATGCTGGGTGTGATGGCACATGCCTGCAATCCAGCTACTTGGGAGGACGAACCTGGAAGATAACAAGTTAAAGGCCAGTATGGGCAATTTAGGGAGTCCCTGTCTCAAAAAATAAAAAGRGCTGGGGGTATGGTAGTGCACATCTGTAATCCCAGCGATTTAGGAGGATTCAAAGTCAGGATTAGCAACTCAGCAAGACCTTCAGCAACTTAGACATTATTTCAAAATAAAAAGTAAAAAAGTCTGGATATGTAGCTCAGTGATAAGCACCCCTGATTCAATCCCTAGTTGTATAATATAAAACAAGGCTCTACATATTTCAGATATGGAAAACAGAAGATAACTTATTTTCAGAAACTATGAGTCTGAGTTATCATAGTCCTTCAGAATCACAACCTCAACAGGTTTTTTAAAAATATACATATTTTTAGTTATAAATGAACACAATACCTTTCTTTCTTTCTTTCTTTCTTTACTTATTTATTATGTGGTGCTGAGGATCAAACCCAGTGCCCCACATATGCTAGGCAAGCACTCTACCACTGAGCTACAGCCCTCTCAACAAGTTTTATTAAGCAGGTATCACCCATGGCCTTGCTCTTGATTGAAATCAAATTTTTGGGTACCATTAACAACATTTCTCTTATAAATGTGAAGTCACCAACCTTGAGCAATATGGACAAAATATTAAGGAAATTATTCTGATAGTAGTCATAGCTCAGAGCTCTTAAAAATTTTAGAGGCCTAAGTTTTATTAGGTTTGTTTACCCTAGGAGAAATTAAATGTAGTAAGTGTCCCATAATTATATGAATGGGCATATACATTTATCTAGTATGTGTTATGAAGAAAACTTGATTTTCAGTTTTTAATGGGTTATGAAAGGGAAAAAGGTCAAACTTACTCAGAGGCTTTTCTCCTACTCAGATGGTGAGAGCCTTAAAACCTGGCTTGACAGTGCTATGAGTGCTGAAACAGAGAATACAAAARGGAGAATGAATGGAGGCAGATTGTAAGAGGCAGATATCAGTAAAATACTTTGGATGTAAAGACTCTGAAATTCCTGTGCATAAAAATGGACCCCTAATACTGGAATTGTTGCTGCTGATTGAGTACTTTGAGGTGAAAAAGATGACCAAGGCCAAAAATGTAGGAACACCAATAACAGATGGACAAGGAGAAATAAGACCTGCCTTCTTTATAGCTTTTACTAGTTTTTTTTCAAAACTATTGTTTCTATAAGAGTTTTTGTACCCTGGTACTTTTTCATTTAATTGAGACTGTGGGTAGAAGAAAATTTGTTTCACTACATTTACATAGGTCATTTGGTATGGGGAATAACTGGTTAGGACTCAAGACTTCCCTGCCCTTTGTGACAAATTAGGGAGTCTTAAAYAGGTTCCTTGACCTTTCTTCACTAAAGGCAGGACAACTAGCTTTCCAATTCTGTGCTGTGCAAACTACCTTTTAAAGCTATTCCTTAATTTAAGACTTCTCAAAGCAGGTCAACCAAAGTTTCTCCAAAGTATTAAGAAATTCTTACTAGAAATCTAAGCAMCCAATAGCACATTATTCTGAAATATTTTTTTCTTTTTTAAAAAGGTAATGTTGATTTCATCTTCTACTCCACAATGGGTCTGTTTTTATACGACACTTAAAATTACCAGCTTAGTTCCTTAGCCCTTTCCCTTTCTTATTTTCCAGAAAAGCGCACCTTTATTGTTTTAGAAAGGAGAATAGGGAGGATTAGCGGTTACTTTTCATCCTCACGAACTTGGAACTATTTCCAACTCTGCAACCCCAAACTAACCCTCACACCCTTGGTCACCCACCCTCAAATTCATCCCAGATTCCTCCAGCACCCCTGCTCCCATCCGCAAAAGCTCTGAACTCAGCAAGTCACAGGAGGCGACATCTGTCACTTCAGCCGCCCCAGGCCCTTCGCAGGCGCTGCGAACCCTCCCCTAAAGCCTCCCTGGCCGGGTTCAGGCCTTAGAAACCCAGGTCCTACCAGGCCGAAACCAAACTCACCAGCAGACAAAGACGATGGCGAGCCAGAAGTTCTGCGCCTGCGCACTCCTGAGGCGGGTTAGCGTTCCCAGAGGGCCGCTGGGCTCTGCCACGCCGGGCTCTGAACCCGCCAGGACCAACCGATTTTGGCGGGTCGTCTGCTTTTTTTTTTTTAACCGTGGACTACATTTCCCATTAGTTTCGGTGGTTCGAGTAGCCTTTTCCACGAACTCTTTCTGCCAGAGCTTGTGGGACTGTCTCCCCAGTGGAGGGATGTAAGCAGACCGAGTCTCAGGACTCAGCAAATTCTACCTGCGTTTACCTCCGGGAGAGGGCAGTGGTGTCCCAACAATAAGCGCAGCTCGGACAGGGTGGCCCGACGTTAAGAAGGGGCTCCTTGGGTGTTCCAGGCGCAGTTCGGTGATGTAGCAACTCCCTGGCCGGCTCGAGCCTGGCGCCCTCAATTCTTTCGCGGCGCGGCTCGGAACTACATTTCCCAGAGGGCGCTGGGCCCTTGGCCCCTGCCCCTCCACGCGCGAGCCTTAGTGTCTGAACCGTTCTCTGCAGTTGCAAGCCKACGCGTTCCTGGGGGGCCAAAGATGGAGTTTACAGCCCGGGGTGGGGATTTAGAACGAGCCTTAAAGCCTGTTGGGTGAATGCGAGATGAGCTGTTAAGTGGTGTGATTTTTATTTATTTTTGCCCCAGCGTGGCTGTGACACCCTTTGTGCGGATGTGAGAAGTATTATGTGGGCGTGCTTTAGGTCCCTTTGGTATGCTTGTTACTGTGTGGCTATGTAACGCTGTACCTGTAGATGTGCGATAACTGGAAAGCGACTGTGTGCGCCCGCGCGCACGATTGATGGCGCCTCTTTGTGGGAAGGAATAGGGAGRGAGCTTTGTGACGCTGTGGCTGTGACTGTGTCTGTGGGCATGGTAACGGCAGCATTGCGTGGGAGATGAACAGGAGACTATGACTATGTGATATAGATACATAGCCATCCGTGGGAGCACATGACCGCTCGGCCCCTCGACAGTAAAGGAGCACTTTTCTGTGACGCCAAGTTTGAGTAGAAGCCCCAGTCCACTACTAATAGCCCTCCCACCGTGAGGGGCAGGCTAACTAAGCTCTAAACTTGCCGTGCGCTGAGACTCAGGAAGGTTTGTACCTTGTTTCCTATTTCTGTCCTCCAAAAGAGGTGCCCAGGGGCTGGGGATGTGGCTCAAGTGGTAGCGCGCTCGCCTAGCAGGCGTGAGGCACTGGATTTGATTCTCAGCACCACATAAAAACAAAATAGATATTGTGTCCACCTAAAACTAAAAAATAAATATTAAAAAAGTGGTATCCAGAGGGGAAAGAAACAATGGTTTTTAACATCTGAAACTTGTGTGTTATGTTGTTTAATGTTTTCTTTTTGTTCCTGAGATGCTTCATTTATTCAGGACATTTTCTTTTTCTTTCTTAGAATTGTCTAAGACAGACCTATCAAATAAGCTGGAATCTACTCTCTGGAAATATCTTCCTTGTACTCCCGAATTTTCTCCTATTAATGTGGCATATGGTTCAGTATATCTATGCTATTTTCTTTTTACATATATACACAAACATGCACATGTATGTAAATATAGGTTCATATATGTATAATGTTTTCATCTGAATCAGTTACTTTTGTCACATATGTGGCCAATCCAATATCCATTCCCTCTTCTTTATTGCTAAAAAAGTCCTGGCCTTGTTTTAAGAAAAATAAACAAAAAACTCTGTGTTCTAACTTCTCCTGTAGTTGTAAGCAAAAGTTATTAGATTGAGTTTCTCAGATAATTCTTTAAAAATGCAGGGTGAGGGCAGGGCCAGACTCAGTAAGCAGGTATTCTTTTGACCTTTCTCCACTTTCCATTTGGAATGTGGATGTGGTGCCACATGTGAAGCATTGAAGCATTTATCTTAAAACCATGCATTTACCATGAAAGAATGAATAGGAAGTTTGCTATATTAAATTAAAATAGAAGATTTTAAGTTTCTGTTTTGTGAAAGCAATTTGGCAAAAAAAAAAAATTCTACCTATATATATACATGAAATGTGTAGTAGAATTTTAATTTTCTTCATTGTAATTAAACTCAAATCGGTGTTTCCTTGTCTTTTTAGTTTCTTCCATGTTCAATTTACCACAATAGCTAGCCTGTGGTTTTGCTGTTGGTAAATATTTGATTGATGAAAGAATAATGATCATGTGATAAATGATAGTAGTATTATTTAGTTTGTTTTTGGTTGCACAGAAGAAACATGCACAGATTGCCTGATGTTTGCATTATTCTGAAATTACTGTCTCTATGTTAATTCTACCTTGGGTGTGGCATAGTAAGCATTATTCAAACTAGGTATGAATTCTTAATAATCTAGAAGACTTATTTATTTGGTACCAGGAACTGAACCCAGGGGCACTAAACCATTGAGCCACATCCCCAGACCTTTTTTTTTTTTTAATATTTATTCTTAAGTTTTTTTTTTAAGGTGGACACAATATCTTTATTTTACATTTATATGGTGCTGAGGATTGAACCCAGTGCCTAGCATGCAGGAAGCACTTACTATCACTGAGTTATTACTACCATTGAGCCACAACCCCAGCTCTTTTTGAGACAGGATCTTACTAAGTTGATGAGGCTGGCCTCAAACTTGCTATCCTCCTGCTTCAGCCTCCCAAGCTGCTGGGATTAGAGGTGTGAGCCATGTACCCAGGCACAGGACTTTTTTACAAGGAATGAAAGATATTCACTGTTCCTCAGTGTACTTTTGTTTTCTTTTATGCTTCCTTTATTAAATTTCTAAGCTAAATGAATAAAATGTTGCTAATTTTTTTCTTAAGCACTCAAACTTGATTACTGGTTTTGGTTAATATGTATACCTTAAAATATTTAAAGTTCTCTTACAAATTTAGGAAGGCTTATTTTTTGAGTATTTTTTAAGACACATTGATGGACCATGATATTCATTTATTTTTATGAGTTGCTGAGAATCGAACCCAGTGCTTCACATATGCTAGGCAAGTGCTCTACCATTGAGCCACAGTCCCCCCAAGGTTAATTCTTTTGGATACTTAAAAAAAATTATTAGTTGTTGATGGACCTTTATTGTATTTATTTTCATCTGGTGCTGAGAATCAAACCCAGTGCCTCACACATGCTAGGCAAGCACTCTACCACTGAGCCACAACCCCAGCCCCTTTTGGATACTTTAAACATGGAAATATCAGAAAAGATCAGAAGAAGGTATAAAAAGTAGGGACAGGGCTGGGGTTGTGGCTCAGTAGTAGAACACTTGTCTAGCATGTGTGAGGTACTGCATTCAATCCTCAGCACCACATATACATAAATAAATTAAATAAAGGTATTGTATCCATCTACAACTAAAAATATTTTTTTTAAAGTAGGGACAGACTTTTAAAAAGGTAATTGTGGAAGGGATAATAAGGAAGAGATAATGATGATCTAGAAGAGTGAGTTGGTAGTAGAGATGGGAAGAAATAGATGGATTTTAGATACATTGAGAGTAAAACGGGAGAACTTGCTGAAGGACTAGATGTAAGAAAAGGGAGAATGAGGGCTGGGGTTGTAGGTCAATGGTAGAGGGCTCTCCTGGCATACATGACACACTGGATTTGAACGTCACATAGAAATATAATATTGTGGCTGGGGTTGTGGCTCAGTGGTAGAGTGCCTGCCTTGCACGCATGTAGCCCTGGGTTCAATAAATAAATAAAAATAAAGATATTGTGTCTAAAAATATTTTTAAAAAGAAATAATATTGTGTCCATCTAAAACTAAAAAATAAATATAAAAAAGAAATGGAGAATGAAAACTGACTCAGGTTTCTGAGTAATTAAGTTGATTTGAAGTGGTACAAAGGAGGAGCCAAAGAAACATGCAAATTGTATCTGCTGGGGTCACTTTACCTAGTAGAGGACTGTTGGCATGCCAGACACCTCTGGTTTCTCTCCTGAAGTAGGTAAAGTAATTCGTAACTATTATGTGGTCTTGAGTTTGAATCTTTCTAATGATTATCACACAAGCTATTCTTTAATGTTAAGACTCTTATTTTTATATAAAAAATTTAAAGGATAGAGGAGTAGGTAACAGAACACTGGTCATACTTTCTGGAGGTAAGAACTTGGTGCTGTAACTTGGATTCAAATCATCTAAGTGTTTGCAAATTTCTCAGATTGAAAATCAGAACAAGAATTCATTTCCCCAGTGTTATTTAGTCAAGAGCTTTTCCATCTGAATTTCCTTAGACATGGATTATGTCCTCACAGTCCATTATATTCTGAAATCTATGTTGAGAGTCTTTGTCACCTTTCCTCACTATATTGCTCCTCTATATTGGTCCACATTGAAATTCACTCTTTTCCAATAGGGATTCTTCACTTTTCTGACTTAATGAACGACTGTAGGAACATAGTGACTGTAGCAGAAAGTGCACAAGAGAAGAAATTACAGCTGGGCATGGTAGTTTATGCTTGTCTCTTTAGTTGCCTATGCTGATAAGATGAACTGGGTTCAAAGAAGCTGGCTGCAACATTAGACAAAGAAAATGGCAGAGAAATCATGCACCACACAGACATGAATTTCTCAGACTGAGGGTGGGACTGCTCTGAGTCCCTTCGCATATGCTAGGCAAGTGCTCTACCATGCTGGACAGTGCTAGAAAGAGGGAGCGTACATCCAGAATCTATTTTATAGGGGGGGACACACAAAGGAGCTTCAATGGAATGTTCTTCACCAAATAAGGCAGGGGATACGGTTTTAAAAGGTGGAGTTTTGCAGTCAGCAGATGGATATCTTGGAAAGTCACGCATCTTAGGTGCTGTGTGGGATCACAGCAGAGCAAGAGGAAAAGTGCACTGATGTCACACCGCCCAATCAGGGTACAACGCCAGACCTGCCCCCTTATATAGCTCCAATGCTCATAGTTCACACCCATAGTCGGTGGATAGCTTGCAACATGCCTGTAACCCTAGCAATTTGGGAGGCTAAGGCAGGAGAACTGCAAGATTGAGGCCAGCCTCAGCAACTTCGTGAGATTCTAAGCAACTTAGGAAGACCCTGTCTCAGAATTAAAAACAAAATAAGAAAAAGGCTGGGAATGTGGATCAGTGGTAAATGTACCCCTTGGATTCAATCTTCAGTGCCAAAAAAGAAAAAAATTAGAAATTATTATTTGTTTATTTTTTAATGGTACTGGAGAGTGCACCTGGGAGCTCTTAACCACTGAACCACATCCTCAGCCCTTAGTTGTTTTTTGAGATAGGGTCTCTTTAAGTTGCTTAAGGCCTCACTAAGTTGCTGAGGCTGGCCTTGAACTTGTGGTACTCCTGCCTCAGCTTCCCAAGCTGCTGGGATTACAGGCGTGGTGTACACCACACCTGGTCTGTACCGTACTTTCTGATTATTACAGCTTGATAGGGAATATTGAAATTGAATAGTCTTAAGTTCTCCAGCCTTTATCCTATTTTTCAAAATTATTTTGAGGGCTAGAGTTTTAAAGTGCATGCTTAGCAAGCACAAGGCCCAGGGGGTTTCATCCCTAGTATTCTGCCTGCAAATTGTATTTTGGTTATTCTGGGTCCTTTGCATTTCTATATAAAATTTAGAATCTGCACACCAATTTTCTACAGAAAACCCTGCTGAAAATTTCAGAGAGACTGTATTAAATTAGCATTATCAATTTAGAGAGTTGTCTTAGCCTTAATAATATTGAATCCTCCAATAATGAAAATGGAATATCTCCCCCATTCAGAACTTTTATTTCTCAGCAATGTTTTTAGAACTTTTATTGTACAAGTCTTGGTTTTGTTAAATGTGTTTCCAAT